TAAAACCCGACCGGGTAGAAACCCCCACCCGGTCGGGTATGATTTAACAGACGAAATTGCCAAGAAAGTCACTGGACCCGGTCGGGTCCCCTACTTGACCCGGTCGGGTCAGATGTGACCCGGGACAAAACGACGTGCGAAGATCACCAGAACGTGGCAGATTATCTGATTTTGACCGGACCCGGTCGGGTAAGTACTATACCCGGTCGGGTACCCGGCCCAAGGTGTTGAAAAACACCTATAAATAGCACACTTTTTCTTCTCTAAAAATCATCCCTTCTTCCATACTCTTTAGCTCAGTTTAGAATAGCATTTCTTTATATTTTTCTAGCTATGTTTAGTCTCCAAATGAGGAGCTAAACTTCCATTCTTGGTGTTGCTCTTGAAGCTTGTTGATTATTAAAGTTGTGAGTTATTTTCTTAACTTCTTTCCTTGAATATTAATTAATAGTTCTTTCCTTAATACCATCTCTATATTAATGTTGGGGAGTGTTGCTAAGATGACAATTAGTTAACATCTCGACATTAGTTAGAATGGTATTTTCTTCCTCTATATTAATATTGGGGAGTGTTGCTAAGATGACAATTAGTTAACATCTTGATAGTAATTATAGTAGGATTCATCTTCTTTAATAATATTCTTCCTTGAATATTAATTAATCCCTACTCATATTTCATATTAATATTTTGAACATTACTTAAAGGATCAACTAGTTTTGTTTCATATATTAATTATTACTAGAAACGATCAACGAACCGATGGTTAATCGTTGATAGTTTCACAAGTAAGTAACTTTGGTTTATTAATGCACGGTCGTGGTTAATAAACTTAAGAGGGATTAATTTTGTTGGTTAAACCGAAACCGTTGTGTTGAGGTTATCAATCTCAATTGATTTCATCAAGGAGTTAGAAAGATTAAATGCTACTATTAAATCGGTATAAGGCGTTGTTCTATATTTGATTAATATTAAGGGTTATTAATGAATGGTTGTTGTTAATAACTACCCTCGATGAAGTGGATATACTCCCCGATTGAGTATTCGAGAGGGAATAAGTTATAGATATAACAATGATCGACTAAAATATATCAACAAGTGGAAAGTAGCAATGCCAAGTCCTTTTTATCTTTGAATTAAACACATATAGGTTGTTCATCTTAGTTCTTAATTAAATTAAATCACTCAATCCAAATCCCCCCTTTTTATTTACTAAGTATCATAAAAAGAGAATTATTCCTTTCCCTGTGGATACAAACTCTACTACGCTATACTACGTATAAGTATTTAGTATTGAAATTATTTTGACGCACCGTGACAAAGTGCTCGTCATATACTCTTCGACGAACATTTCATTAAGTGGATAAAAGCAAAACCAAGTCCTCATCTCATTAATTTAAACTCATATAGGTTGTTCATCTTAGTGTTTTTAAATCAAACAAATCTAAACCCCCCCTGTTACTACTTATATAGAAGAAAAGTATTCCTTTCCCTGTGGATACGAACCTTACTTCACTATACTACGTATTAGTGTTGTATTGATTAATTATTTTGAGTGCACCTCACGACAAGTGCACGTTATGACCCGTGAGAACTTCCATAGGGATCATCTACTATAGATGAAGACCAATGATTGGAAGGAAGTCCTGCTGTTGCAACACAGAATTCACCAACATGTTCAGGCCATTGCTTCAGAGTTTATCTCTATAGTGATGATAACGGGCGTCATCACTACCCCGGGAGGCTACGTTATCTTTGCTGATCATTATGATCATGCCATAACAACCAGAGTGACATCTACTTTAGATGCCTCACAATGACTGGTTGGAAGTCCTGTTAGAGCTTTAATGCTTTTATCATTTTTATACAGGCCACACGTCAGTGTTTACATTGATGTTGTGATAACGGAACACCATAGTGTCTCCGGTGTTTACCTTTTTGTTTTTTCTATTTTGTTTCCCAGAATAAAAGAATAAAGGCATGACGCCCCGATTCATCGGATCGTCATGAGGTGGAGAGTGGTCTGCATGCTGTTTACTCTAAAAAATCATTCTTGGACACTTCTCCTCCAACACAAAAAACGACGACACTCTATTCTCTCAAAGCATCAACTACAAATTCAGCTTCACATCAAATGGTCAGCTACGCTCACAAGTCAATCATCATTATCCGCTGTGCAACCGACTGGCTCTCCTCAAAAGCATTCATTTCAAATAGTCAAAAAGACTACATTGTGGAGGAGACAAAGGTCAGATACTCGCGTACTGAAGATGAATCTCGTGCGCGCCTGGAAACCATCAGAACCATCATTCTAGAGGCGCCACCGGAGTTAATTCAAGCTGATCAAGAGCTACTTCTTGAAGGTAAGGATTACAAGCAAAAGATTCCTCAACACCCGGCATCAAATATCAAATTACCAAGAAGACATCAAAGGGGAGATTGCGAGGATTTCTTCATGAAGCCTTCTCAAGAAGTCAAGTTCAAAGACAAAGTAAGCTGAGTAACAACAAAGACAAAGATATTTGCGCTGCAATGCTGATACAACACGATTGAACACCAAGGGGGAGATTGTTGGGAATATTTTATGGTGTCCAATCTAATTAGTTATGTTTGTATTTGTGTAGTTATTAATTAAATGTGTAATATGGGCCACAAATGTATTTCAGCCCATTAGCCCACTTGTAAGCCTTAAGTTAGACATCCTTATATATAAAAGGATGCTAACTTAAGCAAACCCTAAGTCTCACAAGCCTCACGCACATTAACGCTCATATCTTTCTGAGAGCTTATACGGTATAAGGAAGAGGGAGTTCATCGTTAAAATATTTTTCTATCATTCTGTGATTCTCTCCTTCTATTATATTGTATGATTGTTGATTGATTTTGGGACTATCACATTCGGACAGTTGTTCCACCTTAATGCTTTTGTCCCTCCATCTTGTCAAAAACTGGGTGAGTGATTCCCTTGGCCCCTGGCGGACGCTAGTAAGGTAACTGAAATGCTGCTTTGGGGTTGTGCTAGAAGCAAACTACGCCAGGAAAAGTGTGGATAATTCAGCAAAACTCCTAATATAACTTGGTTGCACTGATCAAACCACTCCTTAGCGGGGCCTCGGAGCGTGCTGAAGAATAATTTGCAAATAGCCTCATTGACCCCGTTATAATTTGCAAATAGCCTCCCAACAACATAAGGCCTCCTTAGTAACTCATAAGGTGTGCATGGGGGTCTCCGACCCCGTTATAAACAAGGTTGATCGGGGGCCTACAATCCCTCAGAATTTTGGCGGTCATGATTTCTTCCATGAAGGGAGAAGTTATCCCAACACGAGGCTGTGTGGGTGTCCGGTTTTGCTGACGAGGAAGCTCGACAATTTGTCTCTGAATTGCGGCCAATACCGCCTCATGTGCCGTTCGACCTAGGGTCACAGGATCTACTACTTCTGGGACAACCTGTCTGGGGATCTCTCCTGGCCTCCCGAGGAATCAAGTTCGGTTGAACGCGGATTGTTGCTAGCCGCCCGCAAACTCTCTCCTTGGAGGAGCACGGGCTTAGTCAAGTAGAACCGGGTTGCGCTGCTTGATGTTCCGATCGAAAACAAATCAGTGGGGCCATGCTGGTACGGTACCCGTAAATCGTAGAGAAAGAGCGGGGTAGTTACCTGCTCTTTCATCGAGATTGGCGAATTACGGTAATAGAATAAAATCTGATTCGAGGAGCCTTCTTTGCGTGACGTCCGCCCCAGTTCCATGCATCCATGAACTGCATGCTAGACTGCCCGACAGGTCATCAAGGTGCATGATCTCTGGGTGTTTTGTGGCTGTTCGGAGATGTCTCGGGTGCGTTCTGATGAGATTCTAACCATTTTCTCGTGTGTAGAGTCTTTTGGGATATGAGGATCAGTGTAAGTGCTTACTTGGAACTTTTAATTCTGTTTCCCACAGACGGCGCCAGTGTTGAGGTTAATTCCTTTAGGTCCAAAGGCCCAACACATTCTTTTGGTTATCGTTAAAATGCTTATGAAAGAAATGAAGTGAGAATCAAGGTCCACACACAAAATGGTTCAATAGCCTAAGTATAATAGGATGCAAATACTGATTACAAAGAAATGGGCGAACGAGAGTTCCGGACCAGTAGCTAATACAAGAGCTAGAGAGTGATATACTCTTAGTGAGTATCAAAATGCTAACCCTTTGCAATGACATAAATGCAGATATTTATACTATTAGTGAGTAGGTGAGGTGGATGATGTGGCCGATTCTGAGTGGATATGGTCTCTTTGCCACTTGACCTACCATACTTGCCACTTGACTTCCCATACCTTCAGCATTAAATGCACTTCCCGCCAACTTGCAAGGTTTCCCGCCAACTCTTTGGGTTGATCCTCCATTGATGGCGCTCTTTATTTCCAAGTATCTTATCCAGTCCGTTCGGGAAATGCCGAACGGGAAATGATCGAACGGGAAGAGATTGTACAGGGATTCATTGCTCTTGACTTGTATTCGTTGGGCTCCGTTACACACGGGCCTCTTATGGGTATTTTGAGCCGGATATTGGGCCAGACCCTAATATCCCAACAAGTTATAAATTTTACACTAATATGAAAATACTTTTAACAAATAACGTGTTCATATAACGTTTATATTATATGTAATTGACAATAAAAAGATATAGTTAATTAAAGTTTTGAAAATGACAAAGTTTTCCGGAAGGGAGGTAATATGATCAGTTAATTGAGATATTTTAGATCTCAGATGGATGTTTAATTTGAGCGCATTAAACCCGCTTTTATCGCAATCCATCTGCATCTTGTAAAAGAAACGCACTCCAATCTTAGGTACGGGATTTATTTATTTAAATTTTAGTGTAGTAACGTAGTTTCTAAATTAAATAGTGTGTGTAAAGAAACACAGATTTAGATCCCAAAAAGGCTAAACCCCCTTTTTTACTTGATAATAATATTAATTATATAAACTACCATCGGTGTTCCAATCTTCAACACTCACACGTACAGATCAGATATACATACAAACCAAACACCAAAAGAGAGAGGTAATTAACAAAGGCAGGATGAAGAGAGGAGCTGGAAGTATGATCCTTTTGTGTTTTGTTGTTTGCATGTCCATATCCATGGCTGCAGCAGCCAAACGCAGCGCTAGAAAGCTGGCAGTGAAATCGGAATGCCAAGTTGACATCGACGACTTGAACAAGACGTGCAAGCAATGGCTCATGACACCCGGCGGGGCAGACGAATACTGTCAGGCGGATGTGATCCTTGTAAGGACACAGTGCCCCAAAGAGGAAGTTCTTAAGCAGGCTCCTTATTTCTTCACCCCTATTGTTGACAAAATTTTGACTCAGAATGGCTTCCAGCCCTTCCCCTCAACGCCTTGATCGTATATGTTAATTACATTCATTATATTGTAATTATATATATTTATAATTATAATTATAATGCATGCAATCTAGCTGCCACTTAAATCTCCGTTTTTCAACAATAATAACATTAAACTATATATTAATTTGTTTGTGGTATATATGGTTCTCATCTTTGATTATATTCTTCCGGCTAAAATGTTTATTTAGTTAATTAATTCCACCAAAATGCTCACCTTTTTGCTACAATGCATAAATTTAATACTCCCTCCGTTCCTAAAAATTCTTCCCGGTTTGACTTGACACGCTTATTAAGAAAGTGGAAAAAAGTGGAAATGTATGGTTGTGGTTGTGTAAGAAAAAGGTAAAATGAATGTGAGCCACACAAATTGTCCAAAATGGGAAAGTGGGAAGTATTTTTAGGAATAACCCAAAAAGGAAAGTGAGAAGTATTTTTTGGAACGGAGGGAATAATCCGTTTCAGACTTTTGGGTGGCCACTACAAAAGAGCATCTCATTACCGACGGACGTTTTCCAACCGATTTAGTGGTGGAAAATTTGCAACGAACTTCAGACGGACTTCTAACGGATGACGTCGGGATTCGGTGGGAACGGCGTAGGAATTGTTTTAGCCCTGCTACGGATATATCCGTCGGAAATCTGTGGGGAAGCATTTACAAATTCGTCGGGATTCCGTAGGAAAGCGGTTGGAAGTATTTGGCTTCCCGTTCGGATGCAATCCGTTGGAACTCGGTTGCAAAGAGATTGGAAAGCTGTTTCGAATCCGTCGGAAACTCATTGGAATTCCGTAGGGAATAGATATTTTTTAAACTCACCGACAATTATTTGGAGAAATCAATTTGAATCAAACCTTATCCCTGCCCTCCTCCATTTATATTGCACTTCAATTGCCAAGATAATAGGCACATCCGATTCATCTTCCTAAACTATTTTTTTTTAAATCTTGGTTTCGTCTCTATACTTTTATAATGTATATGATAGATAGAAGTTGGATTTACGATAGATACGATCCAATTTCAAAAAATGTTTCTGCAAATTTCATGAATGGTGTTGAAAGTTTTGTTGAATTCGCTCGTCTTCAACATGAATTTAGTGGCGGAGAAGAAATTCGATGTCCATGTCGGAAGTGTGGTAATCGACACTTTCATGCTATTGAGGAAGTAAAGCTTCATCTTTTTAGACATGGATTTATTGCCGGTTATGAAAAGTGGACTTCTCATGGAGAATTGTTACAAGGTTCGACATTTTTGAATTCTCAAACCCCAAATGAACATACTACCGAAAATGTTCATGGAGCATATTCAGGGAGTCAAGATGAGACACCATGGGTTCAAAGAATGTTAGAAGACATTTTCGGAGGACACGTGCCGATAGACTCCACAAACTATGATCCTAATTGTGGAGAACATAGAGGAGATGAATCACCAAATGAAGAATTCTGTAGGTTTTGTAGGTGAATGAATGTTTTTATCCATTTTTTATTTTTCCAATATTAAATAGTACGGATTAGATATTTAAGAATTTTCTAATTTCTAAATTGAATTGATAATAATTACGTGACAATGAATCGAAGGTGTCAAACCGATCACACATAGTAAATTATACCGTGATACCCCGTATATCATACGCATGCTATACCAGTACCAAATACGGTACCGTTTTCTTTTAAATTGGAACACTTGGTAACTTTTCGTTTCCTTTCCATCAAGCCCTCGAGTTTCTTTTCCCTCAAGTCCTCCAATGCTCAAGATATGTTATTTTTTTCTCTATATTTTTCTTTTTTATTTTTCTTCAATTCTTTTTTCCTCTCCATCAAAGTACTAAAAATTTATACGTGATTTTACTTATCTTTATTTTTAACTAATTATATTACAAATGATCAATTAACTTTTTTCTTGTCAAATTTATTACAAAATTTTATTAATCCATATAAAATAAGTATATTGCATTAATAATGATACACTATTTTTTTACTTTTTTTTCAATTGAAATTACTATCGAATTTATATTTTAATTTGTGTAATATTTCCCTACATTTATACACTTTGTTGTAAAATGTTTTTCATATTCATACACATTTTTTTTATAATGTGTGATGGAATATATGGACTCCGACCCCCCGGTCTGCCGACTACTGGGCCTGGACAGCAGCCCACACACGTTTAGCGGATATCATTCATATTATTGTACATTATTATTATTCAGATGTTCTAGATTAGTTTTTTGTACTATCTGTCCATTTATGTAACCGGGTTTGTCAGACCCATATTAGAGGCCCATACCCGGATATTACTATATATACTCCTTTAGGAGGCTACACAACTCATACAATCAATATTCATTCTATACACTATTCATCTTCTTCTTCCCCATTTCCCTACTACATTCCTGTTCAAATCTCCTAGTTTATACAATATGGGTATCAATTATCCAACAATGTGTTTATTATCTCTTTGCAAAATATAATAATATCTTTCTTATGTGTTTTATACTCCGTATGTATTTAGTGTTTTTAAGATAATAAATTTGTTTATTTCAATTTAAATTTGATAAAACATGATATTACATTTTTATGTAGTGCGAGTTATGTTTATAGGCAATTTTTGGAGTTACATTTGATAGTATATGAAGTTACATCTTCTTATGTGTGGGTTACATCTTTTTGTGCGCGAGTTACACTTTTCTATGCGTCAATTACATTTTGGCTTGCCTCAAAAAGTTACATTTTGCACACACTTAAGTTAGATTTTTCATCAATGCGAGTTATATTTTTCATAGCACGAGTTAAATCACAACATAAATCCCTGCTATTGAAACAAAAAAAATCATTTTTTTTCAAATCAAAATAATCTTTTTGGTAAAAAAAAAATGTTGGAAAAAAAGTGAATATAGAAAATATTTTTATGGCCTTAATATTAAAAACCAAAACATATTCATAAATTAGTTGAACGATTAAACTCCTTGCTTTCATAGTTTGCATTTGATATTATATGAAGTTGCATCTTCTTATGTGCGATATACATCTGTTTGTGCGTGAGTTACATCTTAATGTACGCGAGTTACACCACTAAATAAAACCTTGCTCATAACAAAAAAAAATGTTTTTTAACTATGTCAGATTTATAGCTCTAATATTAAAAATAAAACATATATATTCATTATTTTCAAAGAGTAATTGGGCAATTAGGATAAATTTTTCATTGTTTACATTGAAATCAATGTTTTATTTTCTTATACTCCGCTTTAGACAACCTACATTTCAACCTGACTCAAGTTACATATTCTATCAACATAAGTTACATTTTTTAATCACAAGTTACACCACCTTGCTACTTAAACAAATAAAGAAAATCATTGTTCATCCACATACTGTTCATGTGTGATTTAAGTCTGGGAGCATTGTGCTCATTGTGGACCGCTACCACAGTATACAAACTGATCATACATGATTAATTACTAACTCCGTAAATGGAAAAGGAGGGTAAAAAAGAAAAAAATGGAAAAGGAAGAATTTGACTTTATAGCCCATATTTTGGGCAACATTGAACTTTAATTTGAACATTATTTTCAAATGATTTATAATGAAATGGGATGCATAGATTAATGATTTTGAAAATATGGTGTAAAGTCAAATAGGGGCGATCCTGAGGGGGGGGGGGGGGGGGGGGGGGGACAACCCTAGGCACAAAAGTATAGAAGAAAAAAAATAGGCTCACGTTTTTTTCTTTGTATATAATGTCGATAGACTTGTTTTTTATTTTTAAATTGAATTTATTAGGCCTAATGTTTATTTTATGTGTTGATAATTTTCAAATGTTAAAACTTAAGTAAAAAGTCTTGATGAGAGCCACACAGACAAGTTTAAAAAACAATATACATTTAATTTTGTTTTTTAAGTAGATCTGGTTGGAGGTTATCATATCAATAAAGACACATTTCTTCACATTTTGTTAACTTTTAAGACTTTTTATTTGTTTTAATTTCAAAATTATCAATTTATACTATTCTTTTAGCAGCCTGTGCCTCATGATTCCCAAACCCATCTCAATCATTCGCGGCGCCGCCTCCACCCCCGTGCCTGCGCGCCGCTGCCTCCGTCCTCATGCTGCAGCGCCGCGGCCGACCCCATGCCACAACATCGCGACCGTCCACATTCGTATTGCCTACCCATGGCTACTGCTGTCCCCATGCCGCTGCATCACCACTATTTGATTTTTTATGAAATTAGGGTTTGAGAATTTAAAGTTTGTGAAAATGGGCAGTAAATATGGGCAGTGAAAATGACAAAAGATAGTGTTAAATATGGACATTATATTGAACATGACATTATATAATGTTGTACATAGGCAGTTAATGAATGCATTGATGAAGTGTCTTGTGAAGTGAATCAAAGACAATAGAGTAATAACGATGACACGCGATGTAATATATTTAACTGGACGTAAAATACTAATTTAAAATTATTGCACCTTAAAATAAATAAAAAAGAACTATAAAGAAATCTTTAACGTGGATGAGAAGAGAATTAAGGTTGGTGGGAATGCAGTGATTCTTACCGGATGTGCAATAATGTCGTGCAGTAATGTTGTGCAGTAAATGTAGTATAAATAATGTGCAGTACTTTTAACCATAGAGAGGAGCGGTTGGTTTCCCTCATCGCTTCGGAGCGGCGAAGGACTTAGGTTCACGGCGGCGGCAGTCCTAGCAAGTCTAGGTTTTTGGTGGGCAGTGCTATAGCTTTTTTGGCGCTTCAGTGTCTCGGAGTTTTGCTAGTTTTTCCTCATCTAGAGCACAAGGTGAAGCGTGGGAGCATTCGGGATCGGAGGGTCTTGGCGAATCTCAATTGCAGTACAGGGGAGATGATAAGGGTATGGAGACTGTTCGCGTTTAGACTTTTTGTGCTCGTGCGGTATGTTGGCCAAGAGATGGAGGCGAATCACGGGAAGATCAGGGTGTTGAAGGAAGAAGATGAAGGGATAAAGATCCGCCCCCCTCCTGAACCGCCGCCATGCTGGAAATGGGTTATTAGGGGTCGGAACACCGCGCTGGAAGATTGGGTTCAGCGGCTCAATAAGTTCATCCTGTTTAAATTCATTGTCCCCATTTTTAGTCTATTTTTCGAAGAAATTCGTTGCTATCGTTTTGCTT